TTAATGCGAACCGACACACCTGATGACGACCGTTTGTGTTATGGTCGAAACGTCGTGAGAATTTTTATTGTTTTCTTTATATATTTTATTATTTTATTGTTTCCCTTCAACGTGACTTTACCGAAAGAACTAAGAATATGAATTACTGCAGTCACGAAAGCTTTAAATCAAAATATATATCTATTTGTTTTTAAATCACTGTTGCTGAGCACAGCAGAGGCCCAATGGCCCACGATGCTGAGCGGGCGGCCAAAAAACAGCACTATTCAATGTGTACAAGGTGAATTCATTACTTTCTTGAATTCAGAATGGTTATAAGGACATGGTAAAAAAAAAGAGATTGTGGGTGGGAATTCCAAAGTCGAGCAAGTGTGATGGAAGAAGCACGAAGAGAGAAGTGTTCTGGCCCTTGCAGTGTCGTGGTTGATTGCGGTGAATCGATCCTGGCGTGTTCCGGTGTGACCTCCACAGCAGTGTGCATGAGACAAAAAGAGTACGTCTGCCTGGTAGCGCTCAGCATGGGTCGGAGGAATCAACGAGAGTGAATTACTCTACCTGACATGAATAAGAGTACCATATCCTCCAGGTTATAGCATGCTCCCGAAAGTAAGACTCATTCCAAATTCGTGCCTATTGTCAATAAAGTTATAAAGATATTGTCACACACACACAGCAGCTGGATTATAAGAGGCAGCCAAACTTTTATTTTAAAACACACGGGGGGAAAAGTGCATCTTATAGTCCAGAGACTATGGCACTGAAAATAACTTTTAAACACTTTAATATATACTGTATATTTATATTAGTAACATGCTCTTTGGTGACTATACCGAAAGAACCAAAGAGTATGTATTCCTGCAGTCACGAAAGCTTCAAATCTAGATTAGTACCATGCTTAACCCCACTTACAAATGGAAACCCAGGAAATTAATATTCTAAAATCCTTTTCGCAGCATTTTGCTTTCATAATTGCACAGCGACCTGGATGGATTGTTGCATCGCGAGACCCTGAGAAACGGTGACGGCTTGCAGAAGGAAGCCTTCATGCAGTCGTAGGTACATACATCGTGGCTAATGATGATAATGATATTTTAATTTATAGCATAATCTATTTTAGTTTAGGACGCAAATGAATTCATCTGAAACATAAAAAAAAAACATTACTGGAATAAAGTGCACTCATTAGAGAGGCATCGTGCAATTGGAAATTAATCATAGTACATGGGCCAACGTCATAACCAAAAGTTCAGGAGTTAATAGATAACCCTACACGATTATAGCTACCGGTGTTTGCCTTGAATGCATTTTAATGATATCTCGCCTGGTTAAATGAAGAACTTTGATTGGTTGATTGATGGAACCATTATGCGCCTCTTTAACCTCGATCCTTTCATTGCCCTCCGTTTCACTTCCCACACGTAACAGGATGCATTTATTTTGTGCTACCTGATTTAGCCGGCATTGGGAAGGGCCCTGTGTAACGGTGGTTGAGCGCACTGCGCTATAATTCCAGCGACATCAGAATCAAGGCCAGGGATATTTTCAATGGCGAGTGAAAATTTAACCAGATTCCGGACCACGTGTTTATCAACCTGTACTGACCAGTGCGGTCAACTTTGGTCAGGTAACCCCCTTGACCTATAACAGCATAGCAAGGCATTCATCCAGCAGTGGAGTGACAAGGTATTGTAAATGATCATACTTGAATCCAGAATTGCACCGATAAACACATTAACGTTTCTTCTGCCAACATTGACTGACTGAAGAACACAAGCTCGTGGCTCTTGACATGTTATGTGCATTCTGTTTTTTTTTACTTTCAAACATTTTTAAACGTCAGTTGCTAATCCCGAGCCCGCGAGTCTACGATGCAAAGCAGCCAGCAACCAAAACTAATAAAGGACATCTCACCAGAGTCAACTACCCCGGCATATCGAGACACGTACAAGAGAACACACGTGCTACCCACAGCTAGACCAGAGAGCAGTCTCAACTCCAGTCCTTGCGGACCCCCCACTCGTTATACAGGGTGCTTCAAAAAATGTTAACACTTACATGGGACTACCGTTTCTAATGGCAAAAAGAACGGATTATACACTGTAACACGATAACAAATGTATGTTAATAGCTTCAAAAAGTCAAAGAGTCTCTCCACTTGTTCGCCATCGTTGTCAACACGTGGCCCTGGAATATTCTCCACGTGGTCTCCAGAGCCCGGAGGCAGCAGCACATTTCTCGTGCTGTTGTTGCAAATTCTTAGAAGTGTTAAAAAAATGTTAAGCACCCCGTATACGTATATGTGCAAAGTAAGGCAATGGAAGACTGCACGCAACCTGATGCTCTGCAATCGCACACATCCGTAAGCGTGGTGGGCTTTTGTCTCGAGCTCTTCCTTGCAACCAGACAAACTACATCTGCGCGGGGCCCAATCGCTTCAGTATTCCTACAGCAGGACGTGGTGGTAATCTTCCCCGAGCAGAATCAAAGTCAGCGGTGTAGCGATCGAGTGTGTAGACGATGCGACTGCATCAGGGGATCGCGGGCCATTTGCAAGTGCCAGGCAATGAAGAGGGAAGGAATTTGACAGGGGCCCACATTTCATTCCATATTCCAGGGCACATGACAACTATGCTACACCACCGATCAAAGACGAGACACGTTGCTACTACTGCACATCCGATGAGCATGGTTGGCTACTTAGGGTGCAAAAGAAGCTCAACATACGTACGTAGGTTTTCACGGTTGTGCTGTATAGCTGTCCAGTGTGGTTTTTTTTTTCTGGATTGTCCCCTCGTGTTCGGCATGATGTCCGACGTTTCTCTCCACGTGCCGGGAGCTTCTTGAGGAACTGAAGTAAAATTTTGATTTAAAGCTTTCGTGACTGCAGTAATTCATATTCTTAGTTTTTTCGGTAAAGTCACGTTGAAGAGAAACAACAAAATAATAAAATATATATAAAACAATAAAAATTCTCACGACGTTTCGACCATAACTCAAACGGTCATCTTCAGGTTTGTTGGTTCGCATAAATTTATTTTTAAACGGCGCATTTATTTATTTATTAAAAAAACGTTAGCGCCACGCGCAGCGATTTGGCAGTTTACCCAGGACTAGTCCATCTATATTCTGAAAAGAGGAGGGGGGAGACGAAATTTTTTATAATGTATGCTGTCTGAAAGCCACTGTAAGTGTGAACAATCAATTAAGAACTGAAATGGTTTATCAAATCTTTCCAATGATTGCTAAGATAGAATCCATCTTCTCGGTTGAAATTGTCTCTGTGCTTGTATATGTGGATAGCCTCATGAACGAATCTCTCATGGAAGCCAGATGGCTTACAAAGAACCTCTGTCTTGGAAAAGTCAATGGCATGTGAGCCTACTGAATTAGAACAATGATCTGCTACGGCCGAGGTGTTGGTCCTACCGTGTTTAAGGTCTGCTTTGTGTTCACGAATGCGGTCCGAGACATGGCGTTTGGTTTCTCCAATGTAACTACTACCACAGAGGCAACTTAGTTTGTAGACACCAGGGTATTGTATGTCCGGAATCACATCTTTTACAGACGGAACCAGATCACGGATTTTTTTTTCAACACATTACATAAAATCCGTGATCTGGTTCCGTCTGTAAAAGATGTGATTCCGGACATACAATACCCTGGTGTCTACAAACTAAGTTGCCTCTGTGGTAGTAGTTACATTGGAGAAACCAAACGCCATGTCTCGGACCGTATTCGTGAACACAAAGCAGACCTTAAACACGGTAGGACCAACACCTCGGCCGTAGCAGATCATTGTTCTAATTCAGTAGGCTCACATGCCATTGACTTTTCCAAGACAGAGGTTCTTTGTAAGCCATCTGGCTTCCATGAGAGATTCGTTCATGAGGCTATCCACATATACAAGCACAGAGACAATTTCAACCGAGAAGATGGATTCTATCTTAGCAATCATTGGAAAGATTTGATAAACCATTTCAGTTCTTAATTGATTGTTCACGCTTACAGTGGCTTTCAGACAGCATACATTATAAAAAAAAATTTCGTCTCCCCCCTCCTCTTTTCAGAATATAGATGGACTAGTCCTGGGTAAACTGCCAAATCGCTGCGCGTGGTGCTAACGTTTTTTATAAATAAGTAAATGCGCCGTTTAAAAATTTTTTTATGCAAACCAACACACCTGAAGATGACCGTTTGAGTTATGGTCGAAACGTCGTGAGAATTTTGTATTGTTTTATATATATTTTATTATTTTGTTGTTTCTCTTCAACGTGACTTTACCGAAAAAACTAAGAAATAGATGGACTAGTCCTGGGTAAACTGCCAAATCGCTGCGCGTGGCGCTAACGTTTTTATAAATAAATAAATGCGCCGTTTAAAAATAAATTTAAGCGAACCAACACACCTGAAGATGACCGTTTGAGTTATGGTCGAAACGTCGTGAGAATTTGTATTGTTTTATATATATTTTATTATTTTGTTGTTTCTCTTCAACGTGACTTTACCGAAAAAACTAAGATTATGAACTGAAGTTAGTTCCTAAAGATTAACTGAATTCACGGACCTATACAAGACACCTGTTTTACGAGACACTTTGCCCTTGATAACCTATGCCTTGTATTTGTACTCTAACGAATGTTCGTGCGCGTGTTTGTGTGTGTGTGTGCAAACCCGTAGTAGGGAGTGGTTGTGTAGCGGTGAGCACGCTGCGCTAAAAAAAAACGGCGACCCGGGTTCGATACCCGCTCACGTCCAACACCAGTGACGATTTTCTGAACCGGTCCTGGGCCTCCCCTAGGTTGACTCAGGCTCAAATGAGTACCTGGTGCGGTGTGTAAACATCGCCGCTGGGGAGACAAAGGCGGCCGGGCGTGGTGCTCGCCACCCAACCCCCTCGCGTGCCGTGCCGGGCCTTCATCGGTAACATACTCGCTAACGCCACTTGCCCCAGCGGTCTGTTAAGGCTATACGGGTGGGGGCGGGGGTCTTTGTCTTTGTAGGTGTTCAGTACAGGGAGCCGCACTGCACGGAGGAGTCGCTGGGGATTGTCGAGAAAAGGTTCTGTGACCCCGCCACGCTGCCCAATGACACGCGGAAGGAATGCAACACACAGGACTGCCCTGCACGGTGAGGCTCTGCGTGGCATTGAATCATTTTATCGTGCTTTTGCCAAATATTACAAGTGTGCGCGTGCTCGCTTAGCATCAATAATTGTGTTTGCATCAATCCATTTATCAGGAGGTACCGAAATGTTTATATTGACGATTAATGGTCTTTGTTTTTTTAATGTAATTTTTCAATTTATACGACTGAGTGCTGTGCTTTGTTTGACGTAAAGCAATCAATTCGGTTGACCAAATTGGTTTTACAATTAGGAGCTACTTCACAAAAATTTGTACTGGATTCGTGCATCTTTGTAATTTTTTTATTTACTTCTCTAATTTGTGAAAAAAATATCTAAAGTAAAGCTTTAAGACCATGCAATGCGGGGTAAAAAAAAGACTAGAATGATTACACGGTAATTTTATTGATTTTATTTTATTATAGAATACCCCATTGGCCAACGAAGGCTGCAAATAACACGCATTGGCCCTAATTGCGGACATACACCTTCGTAATAATGATTCTGGGAGGAAATCTACAAGATAGCCATTGTTTCCGTCACAAGACTGACACGTTTCATCGTGTCAAAAAAGTTTAAAAGTGCACATCTTGCAGACATCAGCGGCTGACCTCTGCAACTTTTGAATTTGCATTGTGGGGGTTTGTTTTTTTCCACGAGGAGCACAGCTGGTGGACTGGAGAGTGGCAGGAGTGTTCGGCCACCTGCGGGGAGCTGGGCCTCAGCAAGCGGAGCGTGCGGTGTGAGCGTGGCGGCAGAGCGGCTGGGCCCCACGAGCCCAGCCTCCCAGACTCCCACTGCTACCACAGGCCCAAGCCAAAGACTCGCACCCCCTGCAACCGGGGGATGCCCTGCCCTGCCCGCTGGCTCGTCGGCGACTGGTCCCAGGTGCTGGAAATATTACTGTGGCTCCGTAATAATGCCTTGACCTTGTAACCCAACCTTAAGTCTTAATTGAATACTTGGCCTGGTTTTATATTGCCATCATGAATGCATGCAAACTTAATGTACAGGAAGAACCAAGAATATAGGTCAGCTATGTTCAGATGAAGGTGCAGGTTCTGTGCTCTGGGTTCACTCCGTGAGCTACCCAGCCTCTGCCTCTCCCAATCTCTCACTGAACTGTGAATCTGTACACCGGGGAGGCAAATATAATTATTGACTGTGGTAATGAATGCTGATGAAATCTCTGAGAGGAAATGTGGAATTTTTAATAACCATTTTTAATGATGTACGCATTTATAAAAACGTTAATTTATTTTGATAATTGTTAATTTTTGCTTCCAACCACAATGGTTATTATTAAAATAACTCGAAATTGTTCCTTGTGCTATAAATGTGCGAATTTGTTAAATATTTTAGTTGTATTCAGAGACCCAAATTGTTACATTTCACTGAAAGATGCCTCCTTTATCAACGACACTGCATAAACACCAGGGTTATCATTGTTGCTTTCATCGACGCATTTATTTTCCGTAAACGAATAGTGACAAATGGCACAAAAAGCCAGCTTTTCATTCACATGACCCATTTTTAACAAAGGCGGAACATCGGTTACGCCAACCTCTGTGTTTGTTTCCACCCAGTGCTCCGTGTCCTGCGGTGGGGGCCACAGGACGCGTGCCACCTACTGCGACGATCGCCGCAACAGGACAGCCTGCGAGGGCAGGGCCCGGCCTGCCGCCATGGAAGAATGCAATCTCACCGAGTGCCCGTCCGCCAGTGACGGGCACCAAAGCGTGCCGAAGCATGGCGTCGCCGGGCGGCAGCGGGACATGTCCAACGAGCTGCAACCGCGTCCACATTTTGTCCCACCACTAGACCAGCTGCTGCCCAGTGGCAACGGCGGACCCCTCGATAGTTTCGGCAAACCGGCGAGCACCGGCCAGGGTCATGGGTCGGGGGAAATTCACGAGAGAAACCAGCTGCCTTCTGCCGAACCGGAGTCTTCGGGAGACAAGGGCGACAACTCCATCAAAGGAAGGCTTTACCACCAGCATCAAAAGGGCATTGGGAAAAACAAGTTGAAGAACAACGTGGTGGTGGACCTCTTCGATTATGACTACAACTTCATTGGTTTTCACGAAGATCTGCTCATCAAAGACTTTTATAAGAACGGACCCGGGGCCAGCACGGCTTTGCAGGTGACACCATTGAAAGGCTCCCAGTCAGATGCGCCATTAATGCTGTTGAGAGATGAAGCCGTATCACCCACTGAGGTTGCTGGTCCTGTTCCCAAGTCAGACCACTTAGAGCGAAACCAGAGAAATGTTTTTCAGGAGCAGTTCATTATCAGCAGCACTCCGGATGATATGTTCATCTTGGAAGAAAGGCTCGGAGCATCTGGAACTGCGCCGCCCGATATAGTGACGAATGTTGCGCGCAAATCCCAAAAAACAAGCTCTACCGTCCATATTATTAACGATGAATATACTGCTCAGTCCCACTTCGGTGACTCTGCCACTGCGAAGACTTTATTCGAGAGCCCCAGCCGCATGCATTCCCATGGTTACCCTCCAACATCGCCCACTGAAACCACGGCAGAGAAAAGCTCAGGTGCACACACCTTTGAGATGCCGTCACCCAGCAGCACACCGATGGCCAGGAGTAAAAGGCTACCAGCCCTTGACGTTTCTCGAAGCGTCACAGTTAAGAGTCCAGGGAAAGAAGCCACGACAGTGGCAGGGCTGCGCGACCTGCGGGGCGTTCATGTGGCCACGTCGGCGCCTGACGGCAACAGTTTCAGGTCAGCTTCATCACAAAGCCCCGGACAAATCGAAGCACCGGGCGCAGTGCCGATGGCAGAGAGCGTGGACGATGAGAGCACAGAGGAAACCCCCACAACCGAAAGGTCAAATTCACGTCTCACAGTGGGGCCCAAGGCACCAGCGGAAGACTTCAATGAAGTCACACTCACTAACGCAAGTGTGGATGTTGCTGCAACTAAAGATTCTTTAAACCAAAGAAGTGTATTTGATGATATCATCGGCTATGATGATGATGAGGGTGGTGGTGGTGGTGGCACTGACATTGATCAAATTGATGGTGATTCTAGTCCTCCAGAAAGAGACTGGTGGATGGAAATGGATGAATTTACCACATCCACAACGTCGCCCTTGGCCACCAAGCAACCTTCTGCTACCTCCTCGTTTGAGAAGTCCAATCGTGCAAACGAAAGTCCCGCTTTGCCTGGACACTGGTTCGTTGGTGTCTGGAGTGAGGTATATATACACACACGTGACACGTGACACGTGTGTGTGTGTTTTTGTTACGAACTATATTACCAAGAGTGAAATATTTCCCGCAACGAGTGAAAAAGAGATTGGCTTTTATGCAATTGGTGTAGAGGGGAAAAAAAACTTTGTAAGTATGCATTCCCAGAGTACAAGATAAGAAACACATTACATCTCAAAGGAATAATGTATGTACATTTTTTTTTCCAATTTAATTTTTGCACGAGTATTTTTAAAAATGTATTTCAAGGACTTCAGGGGCTTTTAGATAATTTATTTTTGTTACGTTCATTTCAGACTTCCAATATATTTGACAACAAACTCCACTAAATAATATGTTGATTGTAGTTATTTGTACAATAGCGTGAGTTTAGTGAGAGTGACAATTTCTATTCCTAGATAATTGGTAGCAGTTAAACAGCAGCCTGAAAAGCAAAGTAGTTGTATTATACATCGTTAGACGTCCTTTGCCAGTACCAAAATGTAATAATAGGGTGTTTCCCCTTTTTTCTGGCAACAAAACTGAAACCTTTTTACAAGGATTCATGTCTGCATTAACCACAATACCTGCAGTTAAGAAAAATAATGCACGGTTTATCCTTTCCAATATGCATTTGTTCTCGAAAATACTTAATCAATGGTACGAAAGCTGATAGGGCATCTTTCTGGGCAAATTGCGTTTGCACATATGTAAAATGTCCTTTTTGCTCCAGTTTATATCTCTAAGTTTAAGAAAACCCTTTGATCATTCTGACCAGTTTTCAGTGCCCTCATAGAAATATAACGAGACAGTAATGTTTTTGTTCATATTGGATCACGTTTACAAGAGTTTATTTTGCCTTCGAACAACAGACAGATAGACAGTCAGATGGATCGAATGCATAAACGATTTAAATTTTAATTTCAGAATGTTAAGAACCCACAAATCTCCAGTTATCTTGTATACTGTATTGCTGAATGAAGCTGTGTTTGGAGCCTGCATTGCAAAGGCCTATTGCTGTTGCTGCTGCTGCCCTGCGTCTCGCTCAGTGCTCTGTGAGCTGCGGGCTGGGAGCCATGTGGAGAGCCGTGCGGTGCAGCTCTGGGCGGCTCGACGACTGCGATGCAGCCAAGAGGCCGGAGCCGGCGCGCCGGTGCCACGTCCGCCCCTGCGCCGTTTGGACCATGGGCAACTGGAGCCAGGCGAGTCGTGCAAAACGGCACGATGGAGGATGAAACAGAACAGTCAGTTATAAAATGGAATCACGACCGTGAAGAGTTACAATTCATCTAATCTTTGCGGGGGGGGGGGGGGGGTGAATTTTTACAACCCTTCTTATTGGAGACTCTTGAGCCAGCACCACTGAGATCATGGCTATGAATCTTAGCGGCCAACCGAGGTTTAACAAGGTCCTAAAGTGATGTGAGTTTATTGTCTCGGCACAGTTATTCATGAGCAAAACAAATGTCGTAACAAACACGGTGCTCTCATAGGGGTTTGTGGAGAGGAAAATGTGTCACAGTGTGCCAAGATGCCCAAAGCATGGGTAATTATGTGCAGCTCTGATTTGTTTTATATATCCGCATGCGCATGTGTTTTTTTGCGTGGTGCTCAATGAAATTGGCAGCCTTGAGCCAGTGGTTGAAATTCTAATCCGGTCTTGGAGGCTAAGCAACATTTGCCGCACCTCCGATTAGCATGGTTGGCTACTTTTGGCGCCAAAGAAGTTCAATATATATACACACACGTAAAAGATTGAGCCTAGTTTAGTACTTAGATGGGAGACTTTCTGAGAAGAGCAGGTATTGTAGAGTTAGGCTGCGAGGTGGCCAAGAAATGGAAATCATCATCATCATCATCCATGATCAATCCACTGCTGGATGAAGGCCCTCCCCGAGCCGCCACCGCCGCCTTTTAACAATGGTTGCAATGCAACAATCTATCCAGTGCCTGCACGTGAACTGATGACATGGTCACATGGCGATGGATTCTTAAATCTATTCTGCGGAGTCTTAAGCCACGGCATATGGCATGGGGTAGAAAGCGTCGGCGAGGTGCGGTGGCATCAACCGCTTTGGTCTTGACGGCATTTTGGTCTCGATCGAAGCGCAGTGCTCGGAGGAGTGCGGCGACGGCGGGGTGAAGACGCGTGTGGTGCAGTGCGTGGATGCGCACAAGCCCGGCCAGGCCTTGCGTCCGTTCCACTGCCACTCACGGGGATACACGCCGCCCACCAGCCTCGCCTGCAACTCATATCCCTGCCCCGAGTGGAGCACCGGCAATTGGAGCCAAGTATGGAATTGGATTTTCCACCATTGATTTTTTTTAAGCTAGTTTTGTCTTTGCTGTTTCTATTGTTTTTTGTCTGTCTGTCCATCTGCCTGTCATCCTGCGGATGCTGTATTAGTAAAAGCTGTGCAGGGGTTAAACAGGGGCACAGTGGTTTGTTTTGGATGCAACAGTGGCGAGATGTTAACTATCTCGCCTAGTATACAGGACCTGGTGGGTTCAATCCCGACTCTGTGACGCCTGTATATTTGGAGTTTGCATGTTCTCTCTCTCTCCCCGTAATCATCTGGTATTTTTCTCCAGGTCCTCTGGTTTTTCCCTCCACATTTATAAACATGTGTTTAGAGTATTTGGTTGCTATACATTTCCACACGATAAGCCACTTCGTTGAGATATTTGTGGCCAGGTCGCTTCTGAAAAAGATATCTATTCGTTTAGTTGTGCGCTGTGTTATGAACCCGGTAACCCACGTACAAGTTCCTGGCCATGGCTAACATCAGTGGTAATATTTGAACCGGTTGTTCACCAAGCATGATGACCGGTCAAACAACCCCTAGAAGAATGTGCATGGTAGGCATTACACCAACAAAAGCAAAACATTCACCCCCTGGCCAAAACCTTACGAATTATGATTATTCTTTTAAGCGTTGGTGTACGGTGCTTTTTCTGCAATATTTTGCTGTCTTTTCTTGGATTTTCTGTTTGCACATAGTCACGTAGTCACTTTAAGATGTTTTCTTGTTCATGTTTTTGTTTTTTGTTTGTTGCGGTTGCACTCGATTCAAGAGCCGAATGGCTCACAGGGCTATACCAAATAAATGAAACTGAAAACTGAAACATCTTTGAGGACATTGATTTTGAACGTGAAGATATTTATCGTGCTGTTGTTAAGGAAACTAAAGAAAACTATTTTTTATTTTTTATAAAATTAAACTATTTTTTATTTTGCCAGGTAAGGCCCACTGAGATATATAGCTATTTTTCGGAAGTGACTGTCCATAAATGATAGCTCAACAAAGTGTATAATCATGTTGAAATTTGTAGCAGCCAAATATTCAAAACACTTGTTTCTAAATGGGGAGTGAAAAACCGGAGGACCCGGAGAAAAATCCACGCAACCATGGGGAGAACCTGCAAACTCTAAATATACAGGGCGTCAAGGTCGGGATCGAACCTACGCCCTCCTGTATACCAGGTGAGGTAGTTAACATCTCGCCACCTTGCCGAGATGTTAACTGTGTACTGACAAAGCGGCACCCTGTGGTGGCGCCGGAATTGTTTGGGAAGAGGAATTATTCTTGTGTCGGTGGATATTGAATTTGAAGTGGGTGTATCCTATTAAACGTTTGTTTATTGTGGTCACTGCTTTGTTTTTTCTTACCTCTTGCGTTCCATCTGAAGCTTGCTTTTTTCGTCTCTTAAAATCTCACTTTACAAAGCTGATGCATTATCTCGGCGGGTCTCTTGCCTAAGGACGTGATTGATTATTTTTTTTAGCACCCGTGTCTTCTTTTGCTTAAGCAACGCTCCGCCTTCCCTCGCTCTTCTCCGCTCCCGTGGCCCAGTGCTCGCGGGAGTGCGGCGGAGGTTGGCAGCACAGGTCGGTGACGTGCCCCCCGGGACATCGGTGTGACGATGACGGCGACGGCAGTCCCAAGCCCCCCCCCATTGCACTCCGCCCCTGCAATCCGCAACCGTGTCTCGAGTGGACGGTCGGACGGTGGGGAGAGGTGAGCTCTGTCGCAGGGGAGTAAAATATATATATAGGGTGTCGCGGATCAATCTTCGCACGTCAAAGGGCATTGGCCATCCAACCGCATGAGTTTAACCAAAGTGGTTAAGAGAGGTCGCTAAGTGCAGAAGACAAATGGCACTTGAAGGCGGTTCATGGAGCAACGATATGTGGTGGCTGTAAATGCTTCTGTGCTTCATCTGCCCTCTCCGCCAGCTGACTCGATTTTCTCGATTGCGCTGCGAGAGATGCCGGTGCTGTGTCTTTGGCGCTTGAGGCATCCGTCTGTTGAGAGACCCGCGAGCGTTTGTGTCAAGAGAGCCTGAGTGCGGAGTGCTATTGACGGATGTGTTGAGTTTTTTGCGCATGTGAAGTAGATGGTTAGCTGGATGAGTTTCTCTTTTTGAGTTTTGCCGAGAGCGGTTGGGGTCGTTTTGCCCGGCCCACACAGCAGCACACATTTACACGCGGGGTTACGTGTTCACAAATGTAATCTGTTAAATTTCCCATCCAAGCTGAAAGGCAAATCCAAGTATTAAAAATGTATTGGCACGGATTGTAAATATGCATTAATGTCTGTGTGTGGGATATGGGTTATTATGTTGGTTAAAGACTATACAATATAGGGACTCCTCTACTTATGAACGAATTAGGTTCCAGAGGTCTATTCGTAAGTGGATTTGTTCGTAAGTCCATCTTTACTCCTGTCGATTCCAAACATGTTGTGCGGCATGTACACTAAACACGGGGAATGGCATTAAAAGTTGTATAATCTCCTGTAGATGTAGATGCCACTGGTTCTTGATGTTCTGCAAATGTAGATGCCACAACCACCATATATTGCGCGGTGGTTGAACTCACGAACTCTCGGTTTGAACAGCTGCAACTGGACATACGTACATGTTAGTTCATATCTCTGAAAGTTCGTAAGTCGAATGTTCGTAAGTAGAGGATTCCCTGTACGCTGAAACTAAACCAAATTAAAATGGAGGTTTGTTTTGGATCTTAACAATATAAACGTCTGCTGTAAAAGTTTTTTTTTGTAAATCAGTAAAAATACTTTCATTGGTTGTGTGTCATAATGTAACACAGCAATATATCTTACATCTAGGCATACACATACACACATACAGTAGGGGTGGCGGAGTGATGCTTTGCATGGCATAATGAGCCCGGCGACCTGTGTTTAAGTCCTTGCTATGGCTAACATCAATGGTGAGTGATATCTGAACTGGTCCTAGTCCCCTTCAGGAACCTGCACTGACCAGTGTGGTGAAGTATGGTAAAACAACCCCATGCCTGATACATTGTAGGGAAGCCTCCATCCCGAAGTGGACTGACAGAGAGGTGTAAACTGTTATTATCATCTCGCATATGTGTATGATGGCTATCTCACTCTAACATAAACCCATTGACCTAGGTTCAATTTCTGTTTGTGAACAGCAGTGCCAAATAGTATCTGAATGAGGCCAGATGCAAATAAGGCGATTACAAAGTCATTGGCAACCACATATGCTGAGTAAACCCAATGTAACCTGTACAAAATTGGATCATCATTGATTTTGTTAAAATATATTTTTTTCTGTGATTCTGGTTATAACTCAAAGTAGTTCAAGAATGATCAATCAAGTAAAGCATCTTAAAAAAAAAGAATTACCGTTTCCAAAATGCAAATTAGTTTTTTGAGAGGTCGTGACCAGACCTGGAGAGCAGGCAAAAACGACACTTACACAGGTCAGCGAGCACCGCCTTACTGCCATCTGCGAGTCGCAGAGCATTAAATTAAATTACGACCAGAGGGTGTGCAACATTGCGGTTTTGGAAGACAAAGTAATAGAGTGGGGGAATTGCAGGCCATTCATCGTCCCTCAAATTTCGACAAAACAACCGCAGACATGGCCGCAATAGGCATAATAACACCACCATAAGCTCACAGTTTTTGGAAATATTTCCTGATTCATCTTCTTTGGTTCTTTCGGTAAAGTCACGTAGAACGAGAATAAAATAATAAATTGATAAAATAAAATAACACAATAATATTCTCACGACGTTTCGGCCACAACACAAGCGGCCTTCATCAGGTGAAGGGACGAGACTGGTCAGTGTGATATAGTTTCGTCCCTTCACCTGATGAAGGCCGCTTGTGTTGTGGCCGAAACGTCGTGAGAATATTGTGTTATTTTATTATATCAATTTATTATTTTATTCTCGTTCTACGTGACTTTACCGAAAGAACCAAAGAAGATGAATCATTGCAGTCACGAAAGCTTTAAATCGAAATTTCCTGATTCGTTTATGTTTTTTTTTCTTCTTGCAGTGCAGCGTCTCCTGCGATGGAGGGGTTCAGCAGCGGATGGTGCAGTGCGTGACTGTGGCGACGCGGCAGCAAGGAGGAAACGGGACGTGGTGCGGAACTCTGCCGCGTCCGGAGACAATCAGAGCCTGCGGCATGCACCCCTGCGACACGATACCTGGTCAGTGTGATATAGTTTCTGTGTTAGATATATTGCATTACACCCCCCCCCCTCCAATGTCCTGGATAAGCTCAATCACTGACAGAATCTCAAATCTCAAATTTTCTTGCTGTGGTTTTCAAACCTGATGATGACTGCTTGTGTTGCAGTCGAAACGTCGTGAGAATTGTATTGTTTTCTATTTGTATTATTTTATTGTTTCCCTTCTACGTGACTTTACCGAAAGAACCAAGAATATGAATCCCTGCAGTCACGAAAGCTTTAAATCAAAATAGAATCTCATTTGCCCAGAATATAGGCTATTGTTGAACATAGGCTTATTAAGTGCATGAAAAAAGTGAATTATTCAGTTCATTGTTGCGGCTAACTGGGAGGAGATGATATCATTGAAAGTATCAAAAGTGGACTGAATAGTGGTGCAATGAAGCTGGCATGTGTTATCTTAAGGGAAATAAGATTTGCAAACCCAAAAGACCAATGAGTGCAGATTATTTTTTGTCAACTTGTGCGAGCCACAATTTTACATCGACCGTATTATTTTAGATGTATACATTGTGGTGTGGCATGTATGCATGTTGATCTTTTTCGCACTGTACATAGCCGACCATGCTAATCGGTGGTGCAGGGAAAACTAAACACGTGGCATGGCCCTCAGGTGGAAGGAATGAAAAGCGTTGCCCCCTCCTTGTTTACCTTTTCCGGTCTTTGTAGCCCAGCTCCTGGGCCTGTCTCGCCTGCGGACAGCCCTGGGGCAGTTGCACCGCCTGCACACTTGATACCTACGCCACTTAAAAATAACTTTAAGATGAGGCTTAAGATGAGGCTTAGACACGGTTGGCTACGTACGGTGCGTAAGACGTTCAACCTACATACAGTACATACGTATATGTATGCTCTTTGGTTCTTTCGGTAAAGTCACGTAGATAGAATCATAGATCTATTATTTTTCTATCGACGTGACTTTACCGAAAGAACCAAAGAGTATGGATTCCTGCAGTCACGAAAGCTTCAAATCAACATGTATGCATCTTTCACATTTCACTGTGACAATCCAATATCCTGAATTCATCTTAAATGACTCGACAATTACATCTTTATCAATGGTGGCCGAGAAAACCGTATCATTGCACGACTGACGACTGACAATTGTCAGTGAAGGACAGGGATGCATTGACGGGTGAGCAAATTTATCACAATTTATGGCAGCTCCATGTAGCGACAAGTCGCTCTCTGATGGTGAACTGTGGTCATCTTAAGAGTGCAGCTCCCTGTGACGAAACGGTCAACTTACAACTCTTGCACGACAGCTGAGGGTACGGCAGCGTTCTAATGTATAAAGAATGTGTTTGCTCTGTGGGGGGAAAGCCTCACGCTGTGATCAGTACACACAGTACACACGCAGTTAACATTTTCGTCAAGGTGGCGAGATGTTAACTACCTCCACTGACACAAGAGTTCGTGGGTATGATCCCGACCCTGACGCCTGTATATTTGGAGTTTGCATTTTCTCCCCATGGTCGCATGGATTTTTATCCAGGTCCTCCGGTTGTTTTCCCTCCCTCCACATTTATTATCAAAGTGCGTTTAGAGCTTTTGGCTGCTGCGATAAATGTCCATATGCTAAGCCACTTCGTTGAGCTATCATTTGTGATGGCCAGGTCGCTTCTAAAAAAAGAGCTACATAGCTCAGTGGGACTTACCTGGTGAAATAAAAAAAAAGAGGTTAGTTTATAGTTTGTAGACGCTGAGGCTTAGACGGCTGGCAGAGTGGTGGTTGGGCAGCTATGTGACTGCACAATGCACGGTGTCCCAAACCTCTTGAGGAAAGGGCGTGCTCGCAGAAGTGATTTGTATCGTTATAATGTGTTGCGGAATAACTTTTAACACCTGCGCTTTATTATTTAATCACCGTTTAAAAAAAGGACAAATCAGCACTGAACGTTCCGACAAATTGTAAATCTCACTCTGCCACGTGTGGTTCTTACACTTTGCTTACATTCATGAATTTGCCAGGCACAGTGTGTAGACAAAGTAACGGCACGTGGTTGTTCATCTGCGAGCTGTTATTTTGGCTCTTGTAGATCTTGAGAAAAATTGGATGCTCATCAGTGCTGATTCCTGCCTAATTATGAGAGACACGAAGAGGCTGCGCTCGCTTGAAAAGGAACACAGAAACGTGAACATGCAGGCAATGTAAGCGGACGGGAATTTAATGCAATATAATGATCGTTTTCATGTTTAAAAGACGCGTAGATTTGCCCCAGAGTTTTTTTGTTTTATTGCCGTCGCATATTGACAGAGAATCTCGGAGAACTTTCTCTTCTCTGGGAGAATCATGAATATTCACAATTTCACACGCACACCTCTCCACCCACGACTCACAAATGACAGATAATTGGACGAAACCTAAAGGCGCCATCGAACGAGCATGTGAAATATTTCATTTGGAATGTTTTACTCGTCATTGTGACCACGCTTATTTTGATTCATCTCTAGTTGTCTCAGTTTCGCGCGTTCACAGCGACGGCAAGAGGAAGCCACTGCCTGCCACACTTTGTTGGGGTTTCGAATTATTACACGCAATTTTAAATCCATCGACATTTTTGCGCAATACTCTCGGCTTTTGGTCGATACATCGTTGTCTCAAACTCTATTAACAAAACAGCCAAGTGCTCGAGGTGCGGTAGGCGGCTGAGGGGGATCGTAATAGCCGGGCGAGAGAGCATAGCTGAGCCAGCACTGCTCACATGCGGAGTTCAAATCAGGGCAGCCGCTCATGAATAAATCAGGTTCTCAAGTGCAGCAAGTTGATGGTCTCAAATTGATCACCAGTAAAACTGAAAAAAAAAACAATCGCATGTTGTCCTCACGTCATTCCAATGCACAGGGCAAAGTAGCTGCTCCACAGCCAGGTGCATTGACTCAGGATTGCACCAGGCATCTCTCAGCCAACACGACAGCGCAGGATTGCTTTCTCGTGTTGCCTGAGCGATGCCTGGTGATGAAGTGAGATCTGACATAGTCCCGTGGTGACATCTGCCAGCGTTGTCGTCTCATGCTGGCTGACACGAGGCGATGTGCTTCTGACTGATGGGAGTTCTGAAATGATGTATATTGCATCGTGACATGATCCCGATGGCAAACGTTGCGATGTAATTGGCAAAGATAACCGAATGTTGCAAACGTCAGTCTCTTCCCCGTCACGTGACTGACCAGGATTTTTTTTAAAAAAATCCTTTATTCTCGAAACACCTCTCTGAATTGAGGTGGTATGCTGACCTTTTTAACATTTTTATTGTTAAAATCGATTAGCACGGTTAGCTATGTGCGGTGCGAAAGAAGTTCCATGTACATACATACGTTAATATACGATTTTAAAAAATAAATATATATATACACTAAATATATGACCCTCTGTCAATCTAATCTCATATGTTGCTCTTAGGGTTTTTTTTTTACCATACTTCACCATCCTGGCCAGTAATGGTTGGCACGACCGGTTCAGGTATCACTTGCCACTGACGTTGGTGCTGTGGTCAGAGCGCAGCGTGATAACCACTGTGCCATTACTCCCCACCCACCACCCCCCTAAATGTTTATTATCCATCACTTCTCCTGGAGTTTATTTTGCAGTTGTTTAATTTGTCCACGTCATTAAATAATGTATGTTTAAAACATACCTGACCCAAAGAGTGACCGCCGTAGAGGTAAGTGAAAGGTTGCACGTCGAAGAAGACTCTGATGATGTAGGCAGTGATGAGAAGGAAGCCGGCACTATTTGGACACATTACGTTGGATTGACAACAACAGGGAAATTAAAAGTGTGTTGTTCGGACAAAATGGAAGGAACAAGAAAGCGATGAAGACCAAACAGAGAATGGCTTGACGACATCAGAGATTGGTGCCAGAAAGATGTGACACTACTTGCGCATATTGGCACAAGGCAGAGACAAGTGGAAACAAATAACAAAGTGTCCAGTGGACACCTCGGGGCTATCTGCCCATGGATTGTGACGATGATGATTAAAATATCTTCATCGTACAGCTTTGTAGAACCTCGGACCTCCTGTTAGGTGGACGTTCTCCCTGTGTTTCATTCGCTCACAAGGTGGGTCCCGAGCGCGAACAATTCCAACGTTGCTGGCAACCCTTCCTAAATTGTCCTTCAAGGCGTTCCGATGTGATTGAGCGTGAGTTTCAGCGCACCGCTGATGTATTGATTAGAGCCACGAATGTGACTTGACCTTAAAGAGGTAACTGTAGAAATGTTGATAAACATTGACACTTGGTTTACATTTATTCAGTGGCAGACGATTTGTCACGTCGCTGTATTTAAACCTCTGGCATATTTTACTATCATGGAGAGAAAAACATCGTATGCATTAATAAAAGCTGACCGATTAGATGTCCGCGTACGGTAATGATGGAGGGGAAACAATGAGTTATCATTTTCAAAAGCAGAACGGATGCTGTGCCTAATTGTACATAATTGGGTTGTGGTTCTTAAGAGTGCGAGTGGTGGAGAGTGGAAATACATTTGGCTGATTTACCTAAAGTCACACCCATCCTTGTTGAATTTGATTTAACGTAATTTTTTTATCGCGTTAAAATGCATTCACTGGGATAATTAGTGTGAAGGCTCTGTCCGTGGCATGTGTAGTTACGGGGAGCGCAGGGAGGGATTGGAGTCTGCTGGATGTTACAGAACGTCCCCCGCCTGTTTTCTCATTTGCGTGCACGTGGTGATTTTCCAGCGTGTGATGGACAGGCCCTAGGGGTTGTACCACGGCAGCTCGTTTGCGTCGTGCTGCACTTCCTATGACTTATCCACTTTTTGATTCGTGGCCAAAACACATTGCCCATTGTAATTGTGATTTTAATTAATCCTGTGCGTGACCTGGGTCAACTCAGCCTAAAATCGATGCTTGGCATTGTATGGTTAACATTGCCACTCGGGGAAACAAACAAGGCCAGGCAGGTGTTGGGCTCTCCGTGCCAGC